CGATTCGTCGCTCGCCTGGTCGCGCCGTAAATGAAGACGAGGGCGTGAAAATGAAAACCTAGGGCATATACGTGATATCAAATATACATATCAGGACACGCGTAGTTTATAATTTACTTAAATTTAATTATTAAATATCAGAACACGTGTGTTCTTTTCAATTTTTTCTTTAATCTGTCAAGCTATTCTCATGTCTAACAAGTGTCCTTGCCATCTCGGGCGCGTGCCCGTGTCCGACACGTGTCCGACACTGTATTGACGAATAAGAGATTATGCAGGTCGAGGTGGCATAACAATGAGCTGCCTCATATGGGAGTCTATCAATATTCATCATGGGACTAGATCTACTGTCCCTATTAGAGGACAAGTACAAGATAATTAGGAAGAGTATCGAAGTTTTTCCTTAGGGTATGATTAAGAGGGATGAGGAGAAGAAAAATCAATTTTTTTGCCAATTAGCTATCCAATGAAAACGACCAACGACAAAAGCAACTTCATAATGCAAAATTGTTGGTAATTTCATATGGCATATTGCGCTGATAAGTTTATAATGTCAAAATTACATGGAAAAGATGCCTATAAAATCTAAATTGTTGTATTGATCCCATCCTCGAAATACCATCGTTTTTTTTCTCGTACGTGCCAACCCCCCATCTTATCAAGTCGTGTGTTGTTCCCACCATTTCATCCTTTCCAATTATTGGATGAAATAAAAAATCAACAAAAAACTCTCATTCTCACATTTACTTTCCCTTTGCATGTATATCCCACACCCTCTCGTTATCCTATATACATCGTGACTCTCTCCCTCTACCTCTCTTGATTTTCACTCGCACGCCAAGAGCCGCACGCCTTTGCTCTCTCATGAAATCCTATCTCCTCTTCCTTCGTTAGCATTTGCAACCACCTCTCAAACAAAACCCTCTACCATATCTTTGTCCAACAGATTGCAACACCCCTCCTTCTCGATACTTGCTGGCAAACTCCAGAACTAGCTAAATCCCCATCTCACATTCTTCCTCTAGATTGTTTCTCATTCCCTTTCTCGTCACCCACTACACCTCCTAAATTGTCACTACTCACCTAAATTGCCAACTAATCACCTAAATTGCTAACTACTCACCTTCAATGCCCCACAAACACCCCATCTCCTCTAGTCCAAATTCTTCGACCTTAACTCCATCTTCATAACCACTTAAGCACAACTAACGGTGATCTCGCACTTTTGACCTAGCAGCTTATCACTTTGCTGTTGCTATTGAGATTCTCCACCCAACACCAACTTGCTTGAGGCTACACTTATAGCCTTTTAATCTCACACCAGTCAAAGCTCTCTAGCTCAAACAACCTAAACAACTCAACGCCACCTCTTGACCTCATTGTTAACTCATCTCTAGTTAAGTGTCATCCTCTTCGACAAACCCTAACCCAAGACCCTTCAACAACTATCAACCTGCTCAAACCAAGCTCCCGACATCTCGCCAACAACTCCAAACTGCAGCCCCATCTTGTCTTCCTGTAAATTTCACTCACCCTCTCTCTCTCTCCTAGTCTCTTCCTTCCTCTACATATCTTTTTTTTTTAATAGAGAAATATTTTTTCAACAAAAAAAAGAGAGAAAAATGAGTTAAAACAATATTGTATTCCCTTCATGCCAAATTCATCGATTCATTATTATCGACAACCTCGCGCACAAGGTGTAATACAAAAGCTTCAAAAATTAAATACCCCTGAACAACATGGTGATTAAAATGTAAAATAAGTAATCGTGCATGTTGCTCCAGTGCGACAAGAAAATTTTTACTTAAATACTTATGCGCAATGTTCCATTATGGTTATATATTCCCTCGAACAGGTAATGAAAGCACATGCTTGTTTTTTCAAGCATGTTGGGTATGAAGTCCCTCAGATGCGGTGCCTGTGATACTAACCATGCACACTTTTTAATCGCGATGAGTATATCTAGTACTCATAAATGCCCCCTTATATGAGCGAGATGTCGTGAGACTGCTAAAAGTTAGTTTTGCACGACCTAGAACATCAAAAGAATCATTGGACATAATTACAACATTCAAATGAAATTAAGCTAAGATTAAAATTGCAAAAATTGTAAGATATGAACAAAGGTTCAAAATGAGGACAATATTAAATGCAAGTGGACACAAGGGAAATACAATTGAACTTAAATGAACTCCAATAGCTAATTAGGAGCACACAAGGGAAATACAATTTAACTTAAATGAACTTCAATAGCTAATTAGGAGCACGAACATAACACACTTAGAACACGCTTGCATAGATGATAAAATATGGAGGTATGATGCAATGAACTAAGTTGCCCCTTCTTATTTATAGGAGGAATGATTTTTCATGGGACCCACAATGCAAAATTACAATTATATGAATACATTTTTGTCAGTTGGAAAATGAGATAATATTCCATCTCATAACAAATGGGGCATTGGATCCGCAATAGGTACGTGCAAGTGAATAAAAAATAGTCTTTAAGATCTCAAAATGAAATATTGCACACATTAGAATGAGTAAATATTCGTGCAAATAACAAAATTCAGATATTTTAAAGTCATGGACATCATGAGATAGTTTTCAACTCAATTGCTTTACATTGAAAATCATGCAAATACTTCATATAAATACATGAAAAGGTATGCAAGTGCACCACTTAATTGTACCAAAAATTATGCAACTACTTCAAGATGCATTCAGATGCTTTAAAAATGTGCAATCATTTTAAAATTCATAAATTCTTTTTTTTTTTAAATTCAAACACAAAAAGTTTATGTGCTTCAACAACTATGCTAAACGTTCAAATATAATATTTGATAATGCTGCGTAGATGAGAAATAAAGGGAACTCAAATTTGATCAGTCTCGAGAAGCTTGCAACTATTTTAACATTGTGTAATTTATTTCAAACCTCTTAAAATCTTTTTGTCAAATATTTAGATCATGAAAATGGCATGCATACATTTCAAGCGTATTGCCCTACTTATAGGATAGGGTCGAAAGTCCTTCTCAAATCTGATCCTTTGTGTATCTAAGATCAGAGTTGACATGACTTCTGCATCCTAACGATTACCTCAATGTTGATAAAATGGGGGCTATCTTATTTTTATTTTCACTTCGCAAGTCCTCCTAAATAAAAATTTCCAATCGTAAATCTTGCATAGATGTCAAGGACTTTTAATAAAGTAAGTCTATTTTCAAAATACAAACCCATGATGTTGTGTTTACAAAATGCAAAAACAAATGCTAATCACCAACTCGATCCTCTACAAGCAAATGAATAGAATTAGCAAGGTCCAATATAACAAAATGAAAGCGATCAAATGCCTCGATGTTGGCCACGCTGACATAAAATCTTGAAGGGATGAATTTATTATCAAAGTTGAGTATTCAAAATACAAATAAAAATACTCTGAATCCCCACGATGATGGTTGCGTTGATATAAAATCTCAATCGGAGTGGTCGATTCTTAAAATCAACTTTTCAAAATACAAATAGAAATACTCCAAATCCTGCTAATGATGGTCGCATTGACTACAAATCTCAACCGAAAGGGATTTTATTTTTAATATTGCCCAAAACCCCAATGCAAATCATTTTAGGCATAAATTCTTGAAAAAAATAAAAAAAAAACATAAAATGTAAAAAATATTCAAAAGAAAAAAAAAAACCCCTCAAAGCTTAAAGCAATAATCGATCATCCTGATATAATATTTCATTTGAAAGTGATAAATTTAAGATTAACCTAAGTTCATGTAGAGCCAATGTCTGATCAAGTCTCACTCTAAAAAAGTTTTCGCACCTGTTAGGATGTGATTTATTTTTTCTAATAGGTTATTTGCTATCAAATGACACATTAAATAACGATTACAATCAGGGCTCTTTGATTGGATGATTTCATTGCAAAATGGCACTATTATATTACAGTCCTACCATAGCTCGAATGTTCCTTGGTGACTAGCTCAATTGAGTTGTGAATCATGAGGCACACTTAATAAGGCACAAAGTCCTACTTAAAATTGCTCTCTCTGATATTCAGTCACCAAGTCCTACCAGGTTCTCTTAAACGATGAAATTATGGTTTCTAACAAAGATCATTTAGTCAGGTTGAGTCAATTACCTCCTGTGACTAACTAGACCATGGTTCATGACAATATGATATGACGGACTCATAAGATCTTGATTGGGGTCGTATGCTTTAAGCCAATGGCGGTATTTTTTTAATCTTAAATCAAAATTATTGTTATTATATGCTAAACACTTATTGCCTTTTGATTAGCCTTAATCAAAAGTTATCTCTAGCCACCGAGTTGTATAATTAATCATAGGGTTTGCTCCTATGGGAGACCGTACTAAAATAGAAAGTACTCACAAAATAAGGGAGAAATCTCCAGCTAGTGTTTTACGTGCAATCCGATTTATCTTTTGAAAATTTAACATGGAACCTAAACTGTTATTGAAGAGCTAGGTGTGAATTTTTGGAGACCACAATTTTAAAGCAGACAATCATATATAATTAAACTAAGGAGTCCAAGAGGTAGATTGAAACCTAATAAGGTATTTAAAACACTAGAAAACTTATCTCGTTTCATAGGCTCCAATATCAGAGGGATGTTATATTCCAATTTAAACCTAGAAAACTAGAAATTAAAATACAGAGAGCTAAAACAACAATGCAAATGATTTGTATTTCTAATAAATAAAAACATAAAATTGCACCAATTTTGAAGTATGGGCTTATTGAGAGATGAGTACGCCTTATAGCTCAGCCTGTGCAGCATTTTTCTAACTAATTTGCTTGCAAAACATGCATTTCTGGGCACTTATCAGACGAATAATTTTCATTAGAATTTGTTCCAGTGTCATTTCAATTGTTAAATTCTGTCTTGCTGTAGTATGGTTCCTTTTTTACAGTTATGATTATGCTCTTGTGGCCAGTACTGAATAATTGATTTCTCCCTACATGGTTGCAGTTGTCTCAACGTACTATTTCCGGCTCTTTGTTGAAGTATCTATCAAAATTGCAGGTAATTTGAAATGTTTTTTCTATGAACTGAATTCCATTTATTATGTAATTAGTCTTTCTAACTCTGAATATTTTTAGGATAACATGTTATGCATAAATCTGGTGAGATCTCTCATTGCTATTTTATTTTGTGTGATTATTGATTCTTTATGCAATTCACAGGTGGATGAAGAACCGGCAATTAGAACCAATACCACAATCCTTCTTGGGAACATAGCGAGCCATTTAAATGAGGGGGTCTGTCTTGGTTACATCAGCTCCTTTATATTGACAACAGAAGGCTATACAACTAAATTAGTTCATGCTAATAATTAGCCACTTAGCACTTTAAGTGACTGCAAATTTTCTGATGGATGAATTCTGCAGATGAGGAAGAGAGTATTAATAAATGCATTTACTGCACGTGCTTTGCGTGATGGTTTCTCTCCAGCTCGTGCAGCAGGCATGTTACACAAATGTGGATCTTTTTTTATCTCTGGATAAACTTGCTTTCTTTATATTTCATTTGTAATGTTTCCTCTTGTGGGTTGGCATTAACTATAAATGGGCTGTGGCAGGAATAATGGCTTTATGTGCCACAAGTGCATATTACGATATGACAGAGATTGCAACTCGTATCTTACCCAATGTTGTTGTACTTACCATTGATCCGGATCCGTAAGTTGAATCTACTTAACATTTATGCCTAAAATCTCTTGCGAGATATGTTTGTGTTAATTCCTTTTTATTTTTTCCTGCATGCTGATCCTCTATATTTTTTAAAAATTGTGAAGTAATATAATCTTTCATGCAGCGTGTTAGCATTGCATAATACCACTTAATTTCTTATGCAATTGTTGAAAGTTTTGGATTCAATGGTGCGAATCATTAATATTATTTTCCCTGTAATCTGATTTTATTTTATACTAGTATAATGAAACTCTAATGTAGCTCTTTGCAGCCAACCGCTACAGTTTTTGGCCTATGTTCATGACTACATTAGCTCTAAATTCTATAAGACTATCAACCATATACACTTTTAAGCTTACAATAAATTTCGCAATGCCTTGTGTTCTCTCTCTTCTATTTACTAAACGACTGATGATGCACTTCTGAAAGACCCAGAATGGGCCGTGGAAAGGAACACTATGACTGCTTTCTGTATTGCTTGTTCAATCAAGTTGAGAAAATGGCAGTTCCTATGACATGTTGTGGCTGCTAGTATTGTGGCTGCTAGTATTGTTTTGTTAGGATGACATGTTTTATTTTATGAAGAAGAGATTTTCTTTAGTGACTTTAGCTTCCTAAATGAAAATGCAGATGGTTGGATGGAGACATGGCAACTTTGTTGGAGATTTTTATTTTTATTATCGTATCAGTAAAACTAAAGTTGAACAGGCTTTAAAGAAAATGAAGTTTGAAAAAGCATTGGGACCTGATAATATTCCAATTGAGGTGTGAAAATGCTTAGGAAATCAATGAATATCTTGGCTTATTAAACTTTTTAATATTACTTTGAAGACTAAAATGATGTCAGATGAGTGGAGAAGTGTGTTGATTCCTACTTTTAAGAGTAAAGGTGATATGCAAGAGTGTGTGAGTTATAGTGGAATTAAGTTGATGTGTCATACATTAAAATTATGAGAGAAAGTTCTTGAGCATAGGTTACGACGTGGTACTTGTTTGGATTCATTCTAGGTAGGTTTACGATGGAAGCTATACATTTTTTGAGAGTTTGATGGAGAAGTATTGAGAGACTAAGGAGGATCTTCGTACAAGGTGTATTGATTTGAAGAAAACATATGATAAAGTTCCAAGAGAAGTGCTCTAGAGAGTTTTAGAAAAGAAATGAGTTAATAATGTTTTTATTCAAGTCATTAAGGATATGCATAAAAGAGTTGTTACTTGTGTTCAAACATAAGGTGGTTTTACAAGTATTTTTTAATTTCAGTTGGATTACATCAAGGTTCATCTTTAAGCCTATATCTTTTTGCTTTAGTCATGGATGTCTTACTAGACATTTGCAAGAGGAACCTTGGTGTATATTTTTTGCTCATGATATTCTTCTTATTGATAAGACTAGAGAGGGAGTTGAAAGAAAACTTGAATTTTGGTGGTGAATTTTAAAGTCTAAAGATTTTTGTTTGAGTAGATCTTAAAGACCAAATGCATGGAGTGAAATTTTAGTAGTTATAGATCTAGTTGTGGGGTTGTGACATTGGGTGATCAAGTCATTAAAAAGGGCACACGTTTTAGATATCTCAGGTATATTGTTCAAAGCGATAGTGGAATAGATGGAGATATTATTAGTAGAATTTAAGTTGGATGATCGAAGTGGAGGAATGCATTGGGCATGTTGTGTGATGGAAAAGTAACCCTCAAACTTAAGGGAAAACTTTATAAGATGATGGTGAGACTTGCGATGCTTTATGGCTCATAATGTTAAAAATTAAAAGAAAAGCATAAAATTAAGTTGAATGTTGTCGAGATGGGGATGCTCAGATGGATGAGTGATTTTACAGTTAGAGATAGAATGCGAAATGAGTATATACACGAAAAGGTTGGGGTAGCTCCAATGGAAGATGGTTTGGTTGCATAAATGTTGGTCTTTCGATGACCCTATTAGGAGAGTAGATGTATTAGATCCAACCTATGTTAAGAAAGGTAGAGGTAGACTTAAAAAACTTGGTTAGAAAGTATTAGAAATGATCATTTTTTATTATATTTAAATGAGAATTTAACTATTAATAGGACGCAATGGAGAAAAAGAATTCATGTAGTTGATCCCACATAATGAGATAAAGGCTTGATGTTGTTTTTGTTGCTGACTGTTGCACCTAATAGACCATGGGATTGATGCGGGCCTCCTCTCCATGTCTTCCTCCCCTTGCAACTGATCCTTGTCTTTTTTCTCCTTCCATCTAGTTTTTGTTCAAATGTGATTTATGCAGCTTGAGACTCTTTTGTCTTACCTTCCTGATTACATTTACATCCATGTAGTACTGACAAAAGGCCACTTGTTGCCTTCTATTGACCTCAATATACATCCAACAATTAGTTCAAGTGCAAATGATAAGAATGGTGTTCGAACGATTATACATTATACATGTAGCAACTTCCAATGCATGGTCAGCAATCAACTGATGTGACATCGCATGCAGTGAAATCAAAATGCTTCATGTTGCACATAGCTAGTCAAGCGTCATTTGTTTGTTAAACGAACTGCTTTGGCACATTCAGGACGTTGAATTTATCCAAGAAGAATAGATTGCGTTCAACCTAAATGAAGTCGGTTGAAAATAATGGTCTGCAAATGCGATGTTGCCAGACCATTGTCCGTTCGTGAAGCAGACTTTGTTGTTGCTTCCGAAGCATCGAAATCAGCTAGAAAGGACACCCATATTGTATGAGTTATTGTACAAGTTGAGATGCTTAATTACCTGCACACGAGGTGACAAGCAAATCGAGATGCATGAATAACAAAAAATTATGTGAGAGGACTACTTATATCTTTTTATTATTTTTATTTTTTATTTAGTTATATACATATCTATATATATATATATATATAAGAAAATTCTTTATTGGCCAAATCTCTTCCCAAGCTGCCAACTTTAATTAAAAAAAAAAAGAGAACCATATCATAATCTACAATCCACTCGATTTTCTTCCTCTAATTCTCACACTCATAGCTTCCTCTATTTTTCCTTCTTCCTAGATCTCCTCTAACAATCAGCACCCCAACTCCTTATGCTCCTCCCATAGTAGCTAAACCATTCAAGCTATGCAACCCCCCTTCTCCTCTCTGAATCCCATGCACAACAACTCGCTCAGCCTGGTCTCCACCCTCTCTTGTACATCCAACCCACTTACGCATCCTACATGCCAGCGGTCCTACAATTCAGTTAACCCAAAATGCCATCAACTGCCTTCCTGTCACAACCCAACCCAGAAGCTCAAGTTAATGAAGCATGAATAGATGGTCAGATGGATATCCCAGCTGTTTTAATAACAATACTTAATAAACTAAATATCCAAATATAATTGCAGGGCCATCAAAATAATTTCCAATATATAAATACTATAAATTAGTTCTTACATATTCTCAGTTGATCATCTTCTTTTGTATATGAAACCTTCTCGATCAACTTTTTGATCAACATGAGATTTACCTGAAAATTTCAATCTAATAATTTGTGTATTCTATAATAAACTCAATGGTTAATTCAATTTATAGTATAACAAGAAGGCATGCATATAAATAGTCATACTCATTTATCAAACTTTTCATTTGATATACATATAATATTTAACATAGATGTGAATACCGTAGTTTCTTGATTGATAAAATGTTCTTATAAATTTTACTCTTTTAAGAGTTCATTTATTACAGGAGCAACATCTAAATTTTATACCAATGAAAATATAATCATTTTTATTTCTATTTTTATTTTTCATTTATTTTTTCATTTATTATGCACTGGTATGTTACATTCCAACCAATATCATAATAGGTGAACTCCTATATTTACGTCCATATATGTTTTTCATTTCAATACTTTCATTTAGATGTTAGAACTCATTTTAATCATTGCATTATCTTTTGCATATACATATTAATCTACATAAATAATTTTCACATTTATATATATCATATTGTAGCTTTGATTGTCTATTTTTCCTTAATTTAATGCATAATAGATATTTTAAAATTTAACAAGTGTACAGGCTGATATAATATCAAATAATTGCATTGAAACTATAAAAAAAATATTATTTGTTATAAAATAAATATAATAACCCATTCATATTTTTGTGTGTTGGAACCCTTCCAAATTTCATCAGTTCTTATATAACCCTCCTTAGTGTATCATCTAAAATCAAGAACACAATTATGTAAATCCACATAACTATTTTAGAACCATATCTTAATTAATATTAAATCTGCATTAATATATTTTACTCTTACCTAACTTTTCTCTGAGAACCTTAGCTTGATTGCGATATTTTGGCTCAACTCGATAATTAAATTTCTTTATTGTTTCAAAACAACATTTATTTGCATTAATATTGTTAGACCAGATTTTGAAGTAGTCAAATGTCATCAAAGTAATGTCAAATGAATTAGATGTTGTTAAAGACAACTTCAACTGCATCGGATATCATTAAAATAAAACTGAATATTTCTAATTTGTCAAGCCATAATTACAATTATATCTATTTTTAATCTCTAAAATGATTGAAATTAAATATCCTTAATTTAAAATTAATTACCTCAATTAATTTTCCTTCTCTTCGAGTTGGGATTATCACCATTTGAATTTCTTCACTTTCCTTGTCATTGGAATGGAGACTTACAAACTCCTTTCTTCTTCTTCTTCCTCTCATCGAGCATAGATCTTTTGACAAACATCAACAGTAAACAACTCTCCTCCAACTTTTCTCTTTCACAATATCTCTCTCTCCTCCAAATTTCTTCTCTTCCTCTCCTTTGGCTTCAATGGACTGAATGAAATCACTTATCCCTCGCAAGGAGTCACATATGTCTACTCGTTATTGTCCCTGACACTATGTGCTTGTGCCGCTCGCTCACTACTTCTTTCACTCGATCGTTGCATTGAGAAAAAAAAAAAAGAGACTGGTTCGATTGAACTGATCTAAAACAACCGCTTATTACACTTTTGTTCCTACCTCTCCCAAACTATACCACCTCCCACGCAAATTGAACCGCCAGCCAATCGCCACTTGTTCTTCGTCTTCTCTCATCTGAACATTGACCCATCTACTCGTAAAACTGTCCAACCGAATACACCCTCCTTCCTACTCATTCTCATATACACTAACACAACCTTCTCCCTTTATTCACTCTTCCTTCGTTCAAACACAAAGTTGTAGCTCACCTAAGCTACCACTCTCCCCTTCTCAGACGAAACGCCAGCCCAACACCAATGAGCTCCAATCTAGATACCTTCTACTCTTCCAAACTTTTTAAACTGGTGCCTACAAACCTATCCCTACACCACACCAATATTTGCAATCCTACTATTGTTGGCCTCTTGCTGTCCAGCTCATCAGCTAGACACTTGCTATTATTCTCTCAAACAACTAACCCGTTGACCACCACACATTCATACAAACCTCCACAAGCCTCCTCCTTCTCACTCTAGCACTCTCCCTTTCTCTCTCCAAGATTAGTAATATTCTCTCTCTCTTTCCAAAACACTTATTCACTATCACTCTAAATAAAATGAGGGCTCTTTCTACTTTCTCTCTCAACAAATCTCCCTCCCCTCTCAGGAAATAGTGAGCAAAAAAATCTCTATCCTATTATCTCTCTCGCTTTCTCTCTCTCTCTCTCTCTCTCTCTCTCTCTCTCTCTCGCCCCATATGCGCCTGGCACAGTGGGATAAAAGACCTTGAATATGTTGTCTCACGACATCAACTATATACGCCTTGTTTTAGCCTACTGGGCTAGTCCAGTATACCCGATGACACCCCTTATGCAAGAAAGACTTCATATTGATGTCGAAGTTTAAGATGAAATAGAGGACTTAAAATAAAATTAAAAATGATGAAATAATAATAATAAATTTTAAATTATTTCAAACAGATACCCGAAAACCTGTACACGGCTTTCTTTGCGTAGTGGGGTAGAATACCCTTGCCGGATTGTCGTAAGACGCTCATCATACTTGCTTTTTTTTTTATGTGCAAACTTAGCACCCCCCCCCCCCTCTCCTCCAAATGATGCCACTAAAATTGCTGGGAGGTTGTTAAAATTTAAATTAAGTAAACAAATAAGGAATTGGACTTAAAATGATATTTTTAAATAAATTTTACAAAATAAAAAACACTTGAACGCAAATTAAATACAAGCATGGGACTTATAATGAACAGGGCAGCTCATCTGCGATCATGAACAAAACTTTCTGATGACAACTGAACTCACAATTTCTATAATCATGTAAAAATGGAATTTTACAAAATGAAAAATATGGAAAAGATTCATAATTGCCTTCGATGTATGCCACTGAACTCACAACACAAACATGCAAGCAGACATAAGATGTAATTTGAACATTAAAATGAAACATTATGTGCATTTCAATGGCAAAGATCATGTAAATAATTAAATATAAATAATCTAAAATCTCGCATGCATCAGGTTGCAATTTCTAAACGTAAGCGTGCCGCCTTGAAAAACAAGCAATAGATTCAAGAATCATGTCATTGCATTTAAAAACATGTAATTCATCAAGAAGCATGCAACAACTCCGTGAAGCATGCTACCACCTCAAGAAGTGCAACGCAATCTTAAAAAAGAGAGAAATTGTATCGAAAAGCATGCCATTATTTTGAAATAAAAAAATTAATGTATATTAAAAAACATACGAATACATATGCAAATACATTGAAATGCATGTAAGTTTATCATGTGAGAGCATCCAAAAGTGCACAAATAAGTTGAAAGCATATGAATACGCTATGCAAATGCACTGAAATGCATGAAAGTGCATCACATGAGTACATTGAAAAGTGCATTACTTGACTGCTTGCAAATTTATTTTGTAAATGCATTGAAATACATGTAAGTGCATCGCATGAGCACACAGAAAAGGGTGCAAGTACATTGTATAAATACATCATTTAAAAAGAAATTTTAATCCTTGAATGCGCTCTGACAAGTATACTAATCATGTAAGCACAGAAGTTAGAGAATATTGCGCAAGATTAAAAATAAGTTAAATTAAAATTCTCTTTTTAAATTAATCACCCCTATGTGCTTCGATTGATACTTCTAACTCCTAAATCTAAGGTTCAAGAATTCTACATAGTGTAATGTTAATTTAAATCTCAAGTCCTATCCTCTTCCTTAAAAGAACTAAAGTTGACAAGACTTTAATTAATAAACAAATTAAAAATCATGAAATTCATGAAGAGATATTATTTTACATTCACATTAGGCATTCAAAGCCCTCTTCGATGGAAATTCATTATAAAAATACTAACTCTTGTATTCAAGGCTCGGTAATAATTCATAAAGCTGATATCAAACTCGTTCCTCTGTTGACGGGTATACAGAGTTGATAAGGTTTGGATAATAGTATAAAATTATTCAAATCTACGATGATGGCTTTGTTGTTAATGAATATCTATCCGAGGGGACCCTACCTTATTAAAATGCCTCCAAACCTTGATGAATATAAATATATTTAAAGTAACTTCGACATCATCTCGACAATGGCTGCATCAATACAAAATCTCAACTAGAGGGGACTCTATCATCAAAATACAATTTTTTTAAAATTACCCTCCAAATTTCAAAGTTAATCATTTGAGGCTTAAAGTCCCATAATTTTTTTAAAAATTAAGTATCAATCAAAATTTAAATATTTATAGTAAAATTAATCATCTAAAACTTAATGCAAATTCATCCAACCTTCGCAACCATTTGACGAGGGCAATGACCTTGAGAATAACTTCAGTTCACAAAAGTGAATGTTCAATCAAGAATATCATTAAGATTCATTCATGGGTGGTACAAGTTAACAATTATGACCGAGTCCCACTGACTGTGTTATTTTGCCAAGATAGGCACCATTATTTTACAGTCACAGCTAGAGTTCGTATGTTTCTCAATGGCTAACACCCGTGAGTAATGAATCATATGGTATACTTGATAGAGCATAAAACCTTATATTAGCTAAGGTTGACTAGGTTAACTTCAATTTTTCTCTATAGACAAACACTCATCTCAAGTCTATAAGGTACTCTTAGACGAAGCAACATATGATTGTTCACATGGATCCTTTGGTCAGGTTGAGTCAACTACTTCCTCTGTCTAAGCAGATTAGGAATCACGACAACTCGGGATGATGTAATCATGAGATTTTGATTGGGTTCATCATCATTCTCCCCACCATCTGCTTTAAGTATAAGGTGGTGAATGTCAAATCCTACATGGTAAAATTGTTCTACTAAACATTGGATACTAAATGCTTATCTAATGACTAGCTTTAATTGAAAGTGCTCTCTCATTAATGAAAGGGTAATTAACTATATAGGGGCTTGCGGAAGCCTGAACTTAGATCTTAAAGTCCACGGGTAATGAGGATGAAATCTCTGGTTTGTGTCTTATCTCTCTATTCTAATGTATCTTCTAAAAATTTGACCTAGAACTTAATTCATTAACATTCTCCTTAATATGCAAAGAGGCCAAGACACGAAATTTTGGAGACCAGACCTTCACATTACTTCAATGATCATCCGCAACTTTGTTGACTTGTGGCTTTCCAATGGGGTGTGAATCTTTTGACCTTCAATGAGATCTATGGGCATTCGGTCAAAATGGCAATTTCAGCAGACTTTGTGGGTATTTGATGGATCACAACCTGCAACCCAGTGAGATCTATGGTTATGAATCACAAGTTGTCGAAATTTGTAGCAGGAAGAAAATTTACTGAGTTTTTGTTGTGATGATTCCATCTCTAAGGGGTTGATCTTTTTTTTTTTCGTAATTTTCTTAAATAGGGAAATTATAGGAGGAAGTTTTATTGTAAGGGATCTTTGGTTTGTTTTTAAGAAGTTCTATTTTGATTTTGAATTTAGTTCTAATTAGATGTGACATCCCTTCTACTTCCAAGAGTCTACTCCTTGAAGATTTCCTGAGGAGAAGTCATTGCCTTGTGCAAGTAAAAGCCTTGATTTGGTGTATTTTTTTCTTCTACTTTATTTATTCCCTCTAAATCATCTTATTGGTTTGTACGTGCAACTAGACTTATCCATTTTAGATCTAATCTGAGGTTCAAATGAGTGTATGGTTGTCAATTATTAGAATGTTTTGTTGATATGAACTTCTATGCATTGTTTCTCCTAGAAAACTATTACATTGTCATCTGCGTTGGATTTCTATGTATTTTTGGTTTTTAATAAAAGGAACAGATATTTGTTAAAAACTTAAAATTAAGAGTTTCTAACTGCAAAATTTTTTTGTCTTTGCATGTTTTGTGTGCCTTATAGGCCCAAAGAGATCTGCATCATACTGCTTTTAATATCATGTTCTATAAATAAAAAATCTTGATTAGTCTTGTTGGCTAGTTTTATATGAATGTTTGTACATTCGTATGCAAATTTTTTTCCGGGATGCAGTATAGTTATTACTTGTGGAATATTGAGCTTTTTGCTAGTTAAATTTCTGATATAGCGTTCTTCTATTTGCCTGTTTTCTTAGTGACGTGAGATCAAAGACATTTCAGGCTGTCGATCAATTTTTGCAAATAGCAAAGCAGAACCATGAAAAGGTAACTTATTTCTGAAGTTGTTTTGCTAGATGTGATTACAATGGATAGGCTTGAGCTTGTTGTTGTTTGTTTCCTCTACTATTGAGCTTGGTGTTGTTTGCAAACTTTTACAATTAAGGTTCATATCCTATTGTTATGCCCATCATCTTAAAAATCTATACTGAATGACTGATTTCACTGATTTCAGAACTATTTGGTTACTCCTTTACAAAAATTTTTATTTCATTTTTAGGCATTTTGGAATTATTTTATCAGTTTCCTGTTTAATTAGTGGACTGGCTATATTAGATGGATCCAAATTTTAAGTGATAAAAAAAATTATAGATAGCCAAGTTTGGTTTGTAGAAATGAGAACGTTCAAATTGATATATGGTAAAACTAGAAAGGATAGTTGAGAAAATGATTAAATGACTGATTGTGGAGTAGCAGCTTTTGAAGATAATGTGGTGGAAAATAGAATTCAGTTGTTTGAGCATGGTCAACATAACTTGGAAGATGTTCTGTTAAACCCCAGCAGTCCCTTGGCATTTTAATCCCACGGCTAGGATGAGAATCCGTGGGTGGCTCACCTATTAAATCCTAGCCGTCCCTTGGCATTTTGATCTCATGGCTAAGATGGAAATTCGTGGGAGGTTCACCTGGATCACGCTGATCTCCTTCCATATTTAGATGGATGATTTAGGAAGGATTATATTAGAGCAATAAAGCATTATTATGTAATTATTATTTTTTTATTAAGATATCTTGTATAGATCTATAAATAGGGACAAGTTTGTGCAATAAAATTAAGTCTTTTTTCACTCCAATTCTCTAAATTTAACATGGTATCAAAACCTTCATTGCAGTTTCTAGAATTCTGAATTTTTGCACTGTTATGCCTTCATTGCCGGCCTTCCCTTATAGTTGTATCTATAATCAACACAGCCTTTATTGTTGCCCTGCTTGATATAGCCTTCATCGTTGTCCTTTGCCGCCACTATGTCTGAAGCAAATTCCTCCCAAAGCTTTGATTAATTGGAGAACTCTACAATGCGCCAAAGAAGAGGAGATCTCCAAAATATGCAACCTTCCTATCGCTTAAATGGGAAGAATTATTTGAAGTGGTCTCAATTTGTGAAGACCTATTTGAAAGGAAAAGGAAAGATGAATTACGTCCTTGGGGTAGGACCAAAAGAAGATCCTAATTTTTGGGCATAGAATGAAGCAAACTCTATGATTATGTTATGGTTGTGGAATTCCATGACTCCAGAAATTAGCGATACTTTCATGTTCCTATCTACTACAAAAGACATATGGGATGCCGCCAGGAAAACCTTCTCAAAAGCTTGGGATGCTGCACAAATCTTCAAAATTAAAGTCAAGGTGGGAAGCACAAAACAAGGAAGCAAGACCGTGACTGAATATACCACTCTCCTTCGAAGCTTGTGACAAGAATTTGATCACTACAGATGCATAGAGAATAAGTGTTCAGAAGATGCGGCTATCCTAAAAAGCTTTATTGAGAAATATAAAGTGTATGACTTTCTTGCAGGATTAAATACAGAGTTTGACTAAGTTAGAGTTTATATTCTTGGCAAAGAGAGATTGTCACTAAATGAGACCATTTCTCTTATTGGTGATGAGGAAAGCTGACATGATGTTATGCTAGAACCAAAGATTGTTGAAGGTTCAGCAATGGTGATAGCCAAAGGCATCATAGAAGGAAAGAGGTAAGGATTTTTCAAAACCTTAAGACAAAGACTTTATTTGGTGCAGCTATTGTAAGAAATCAAGACACACAAATGTGATATGTTGGAAGTTATAAGGAAAGCCTCCAAGTAATGAGTGGAATCAAAGAAGTAGACAAAAGAGAACATCACAAGCTAACGCAACAACAAGCCAACCCAACCCAGAAACACAATCCAGTTTCAAAGAGCTCAACGAAGAAGATATTTATATGCTAAAACAATTCTTGGTATCACTTGAAAATTCACTTGCATCTTCTTAACTTGTACTTTTAGGTAAATTTCTTATATCTATTGGATTGTCTCTAGAAATCATTTGAAAGGAGTATGGATCATTGACTCAGGAGCCACATATAACATAACACACTCTACTACTCACTTCATCAACTACACTCCTTACCCGAATGATAAGAAAATCATCATAGCTGATGGTTCTCTTACCATAGTAGCAGGCCAAGGAGACATATCCTTATCTCCCTTCATCACTCTAAAAAATGTGCTCCATGTACCTGATGCAGGACTACTTAGATGACATGCTTATGGATTCATGTGGGCATTGCACAACTAATAGATTAGAACAATTTCGGAACAAAATTACAAGCAATTTTCAAGCGACAAAAATAAATGAGTGGATCAATTGCGTAGGCTAAATCACATGCTCCGAGTTTGAACTATCAAGATAATTAAGAAAATAGCAGCAATACAGAATAGTAGTTTTCAAGTTAAATCCCTAATCTAACAACGAGACGTAGGATGCATAGAAGATTACACTCGGTTCCTACAAATGACTAGGCTTGGCAAGAGCAATTGAAGGCGCTTTCGTGATTACAATCAACCAATTGAGAATTTAGATTTAGAAGAAATTAAATGCAAGTGAAAGAGAAAACCGTCGTTAAGAGGAGGTGGAAATCCTCCACTCGATGCTCTTGAAGTATTCGTCAATGGCCTATGTCATTCAAGGAGGAATGGTTGAAATTTCTCCCATGGTAGTGAGCATTCTTGAAACTTATCCAAGGCGAGGAGACAAGAAGTTCTCGTCAATGTGCGCTGAAGAAACAACTCCAAACCTTGCCAAAAATCTGAAAAGATTTCAAATTTTCTAGTTGAAACCTTAGGGAAGATTTCAGCTTTTCCCTATGAGAAGAGAGAACTCTTTGGAAGAAAGTTTTAGGCAGAGAATTCAAGAGGACTTAAATGGACGGGAGAGAGTTTGGAAAGAAGAGAGAGCACGGGTAAAGGCTTGGGCGGCTGCAGAGAGGAAGTGTTAGGAGAGTTCTTTCCAAAATAAAAAAATTGAAATAGGCAAGAAGTAAAGAGATTAAAGGCATTGGAAAATTCGGCCACATAGAAAGAAATAGTTTGAATTGTTTCTAACTAGGTTTATGTGGTGATTAGGAAATAAATCCAAATCTTCCTTCATAGTGGCCGGCGGCATGCATGGTCAAGGTTTGATTTGGTGAGAGTAATTAGAGGCTTCCTTATTTAGGTTTTAAAATTAGGAAATATTTAATTTAAATTCTTTTGAATTTAAAATTCAAAATTAGATCTAATTCAAATACTTTCCTAAAATAGAAAAGCTAATTTAGGAAATAATTTGAATTCAAATTTGATTGGATTTGAATTTCAAATTAATCCCAATAGAAAATAAAAGACCAACTTGCCCTTTGGGCTTACATGCGACCACTCCCATGAAAGGGGTACAAAAGGAAATAATAACGACACCTAAGCAAATAAGAAAATGCATAAATAAAATAAAATACAATCATGACTCAGAAATACAAGGACTCGATCGTGGCCGTAGATCGGCGACCACGTCACTGATAAACCTTCCACGCTGATCTGATGTCCCCATCAGTACCTCAATTATCTACAAACCTAATCTTTATACAAAAACTTACCAATGATTATAATTGCCAACTTCTTCTTTAACCCTACTTGTATATTTCAGGACTAGGGATCGGGGAAGAAAATTGGACTTGATAAGGAGAGAGATGGATTGTACTACCTGAAAGAGTTGAATAAATCCACTATTATCAATAATGGTTATTATATGATATCCTTATTTAATAAAAAATATATTATTTGGCTTCATCATTTTAGATTAGGACATCCATCTTTTGATTTCTTAAAAAATATGTATCAAAATTTTTTGTATAAGTTGAAAAATGGATCTTTTCATTGTGAAACTTGTGAGTTATCCAAGCATAAATGAGTTTTTTTTTTTCAAATAAAATTGAGAGATGTCATACCCCTTCCTACCTTATTCATTGTGATATTTGAAGACCCTAAAAAATTCCTAACATCTCAGGGGCCCGATAGTTTGTATCCTTCATTGATGACTGCACTCGAGTCTCTTGAATTTTTTTCCTCAAAAATAAATTTGATGTGAGCACTATCCTTCTTATTTTTCATGTCGGGATCCAGAATCAATTCAAGGGTAAAAATAAGAAAATTTTGTTTCGGCAATGCCAAAGATTATTATAACTAAGCTCTATGCTCCTTTCCAAAGGAAGGTATCATTCATGAGTCTAACTGCATTCATACCCCACACCATAACAGAGTTGCAGAAAGAAAAAATGGCCATCTTCTGGCCTCCACTCGTGCACTTTTATTCCACCATAATGTTCCAAAATCATACTGGGGGGAAGGGCTCTGACCGCCACATATCTCATAAACTGACTACCTTCAACAATATTGGGACTAAAAACTCCAATGGATATTCTATCATCTTTTTAACCTGAATTCAAACCCATAACAACCTCACACTCAGAGTCTTTGGGTGCACTGCCTATGTTCACATTCACAGTCCAAATTGAGAAAAATTAGATCCAAAAGCATACTTAAATGTATCTTTGTTGGATATTCATGCACCCAAAAAGGTTATAAGTGTTATCATCCCTCTACCAAGAAAATTCTTGTATCTATTGACTTTTGATGAACAAAAATCTTATTTCACCAAACCTCATCTTCATGGGGAGAGGAAGATGAAGAAAGTGAGCTTTCCCCTCTTGACCTTTCAGCTCCACCTCAAACCAATCCACCTAAACCTAAAATCAAAGCCAGAGAAACTGAGGACAAAGCTATTATGGATAATATGAGGTTTGAAAAAGTGTATTCAAGGCGTACAAATCCAAATTATGCTCTAGAGTATATCCAAGAATTTGATCCGTCTCCTGAAATTGAGGTAATACAAGTTCACCAAAAAAATCCCCCTTATACCCCACAACCAACTTTGTATCCTTCCATATTTTCTCACATTCACCCAGGTGTTACTAC